ACAGATTCAATGAACGCAAGACATGGAACCAAACGACCCTCGACCATGCCATGCCATCATGCATACCACAACAAAGGGTTGATGATGCAGATTGATTGGTGGTCGGCAATCCAAATCCGGCATCCGGCATCCGGCCGACGGTGAGGCGGCCGACGGTGAGGCAGCCAACGGCGAGGCGGCCAACGGCGAGGCGGCCGACAGCGAGGCGGCCGACGGCGAGGCGGCCGACGGCGAGGCGGCCGACGGCGAGGCGGCCGACGGCGAGGCGGCCGACGGCGAGGCGGCCGACGGCGAGGCGGCCGACGGTGAGATGCTGGCGGCGAGGCGGCCGACGGCGAGGCGGCCGACGTAAGTCCTCGCCCAGGCTCGCTCAGACCGGCGGGGGCATCGGGCGGGAGGTGGGCGGGGAAATACACACACACACACGCTGTTAATCAGCTAGCAGGGGACGCAACGAGCACAGACTTTGCACGGCAAAACAACATGAGCAGCTGCGCACAAAATGCAGAAACATACTAATAAGCACACAGGCGGATCGCGGGCAGTTTCAAATATTCCATCACAATTAAAACAGTAGCACCCCCACACATACCCACACATACGTAAACATGCGTGCGCGTGCACACACACACACACGCACGCGCGAGAGCACATTCTCACCCACATTTGAACACCTACATACAAACATACATACATACAATTGCGCACAAATACAAGCCACTGAACACCGCAACAATAACCATCGGCCGGCTTTGCAGCTTCTATCTGAGTTTGCTGACCTTATCTTTGCAGTTTGCTGCCTTTGTGCTTTTGCTGTCGTTGTCGCTGTTGCTGCTTGCCGGCACGACAGGAGAAAAACACCGCGCCACGAAACACCCACAGCAAGAAACTTTGCTCCGAACGTATGTACGACATCACTACATCACGAACGGACACAAAGTGGCACCCACGCAGTGAACATACGGGGAAAGACCTTCATGCCGTACTCCCTACACGCCGCACCTTACCAAGGTACAACAATTTCATACCGAAATCCCCCTCCGTCACCAACTCGTCTATCCATTTGCAACGCGCCTTCACCCATAGAATCCAAGAACGATGGCCGACCTTGATACGACGTGTAACGGCCTCACGGCCGGAAATCTAGGCGCGTTCTAACTAACGTACGACATGTACGGGCGACCGTGCACCCGGCGTCACTCACCAGCAGCGGAAGACGATGTGAGCTTGACTGCGTTGATTAGAAGCGTTGACAATGGGGGCCCTTGCTTCACGCCGACGCAACATCGCACTGGGGTCTTGGAGAGTTGAAATGTGGTGTACGCAGAGATTCTCGTTGCCAGGTGGAATGCGGTCGATCTGGAAGGCCTTGGGCAACTCGAATGAGCAGTCGTCTCTGTCGCGAGGA